AAGCTTGGCATTGCAGTTAGAGTGCGCGCCCATGCGCGCCGAAGCTTGGCATTGCAGTTAGAGTGCGCGCCCATGCGCGCCCAAGCTTGGCATTGTAGTTAGAGTGCGCGCCCATGCACGCCCAAGCTAGGCGTTGCAGTTATAGTGTGCGCCCATGCGCACCCAAGCTTGGCATTGTAGTTAGAGTGCGCGCCCCTGCGCGCCCAAGCTTGACTTTGCTATGCAGGGTTATCGAAAACCCCTTTACGGAGTACGTTTCCTCGAGGTATCCTACATCTACAGTGGTGGGAGAGGACGGATTGAGATATTGATTGGAGCTACAGACAATATTATCCTTGCGGAGGAGCTTTATCTCAGGAGCATTGCAGACGTGGAGATGGCGAGATGCATGACCTATATCTGCAAGATTGATCTAGCAGCGCCTCTTGACATCAGCTACGTGGTTCCAGAGTCGATAGTCACGCGAGTTCTCAATGACGAGGCTCCAGATATGGAGTCCCTGACGACAACACTTACTCACGAGGGGGTACCGCTTATTATCATCGATTGAGGTTCCCTCATTTCAATCACTATGATGTATTACGGCGTTATTGTTTATTAGTGACTACAGTCCTCCGATGACTGCTCCCTGCATGCATTGTGTATTACTCTTTAGTCTCGTTTCTCTGGTCATGCTCTTGCAGAGTCTGGTTTCTGGTCTTCTCATTTTGTCAGTGTCAATTGCTCTATGATGCATGTTTGTTATTTTCCTCCTTATTTTATACAGGTTACACTCAAGGCAGCTTGAAGGACCCCTGAATGATAGGGACTCCGGTGACCTTGGGTCTATCCTTTATACGGGGTCAGGTGCAGGCGATAAACCCGAACGCCTCACTCTAATCCGTGTCGCCGCTGGCAGGAGGGATAACCCTGACTACTCGGCTGTATGACAAAGTGTGACTGCCTCTGAATACACCTTTATTTTTATACCTATCAAAATCCTGCGTGACAGCCTGCCCGTCCTCCAACCCACTGAGCTCCGTCCGGGGAAGGATATCTAACCGGACCCTTGGAGCAGTGGGGGCGCGACAAAAGGCTCCGTTGCCGAGGACTCAAAAATCTTGAGTTCCTGGGAGCGGACCTTGGTCGCAATATTCTGTGACTAGGCAGCAGTCTAGCATATTTTCGTACAAGGTCTGACTCAGGTCAGAAAGACTTTCAGCTAGAGGAGCCCCGAGAGGAGGGACCTCTCGCAAAAGTCTATTTGAAGTGAATCAGACCTGCAAGCAAGGGTTTGGAATTTGTTTTTCTGGACTCTTCGCTTGAGAAGTCCATAAGTCTGAAACCAGATGATGGTTTAAGAGTATAATGTCCTAGAAGCCCTAACTCGTGTCACTTGTGGTGGTGTCTTCCCTTATATGTTTGTCAAATGCATTGCTTGTGTGAAAAGTACAACGAGTGTGCATGTGCTTGTCTCTAGATTCCTTGACACTGATGACTATGATATTCGACCCTACATCCTAGAAAGGACTGATCGGGATCCGAGTTTCTTTACCAACTCGGATGTCATAGTGAGGTGTGTCAAAGTAGAGAGGGATGAATTGAGACAACAAGGGATAGAAGCGAGTTAGAGCTTACTGCCTAGGATTTATGAGAGGATTCCTGCCCCGCCAGTACCTAAAGGTTTCTGTGATGGTAGGAACTGGCAGCCAATCATTAATGCAGCACTGAGAAGGCAAACCTGGTAAGTATTCAATGTCAGCAGTAAGGAAAGCGGTAGAGGCGCTGACAAGAATCACGGTTGGGGGTGCTTTCACGTACGTCATAGAGAGGTGTGTGACTTGTGAACATGACTCGGTGATCTTGTACGTCCTTGTAACTCGGTTTC